GGTGCTGCTGCTGCTCTGGCTGCTTCTGCTTCGTGTTCTGCTGCTGCTGCTGTCCGTACTGCTTGTCCTGCTGCTGCTGTTGCTGCTTTTGCTGCTGTTGCCGCTGCTGCTGCTGCTGCTGCTGCTGCTGTTGCTGCTGCGACCACTTGCGCTGTTGCTGCTGGTCCCGACTGCGCTGCTGCTGCAAGCTGCATCGCTGCAGCAGCAGCTCTTCACACCCCACCACCACCACCGCTGCTGCTGCTGCTGCTGCTGCTGCTGCTGCTGCTGCTGCTGCTGCTGCTGCTGCAGGACTTCGCGCTGCTGCATTGCTTCCTCGGGGATGCAGGCGGACATAAACACTCTTCACAAATTGCTGAAGGTTTGAAAACTCTTTTTGGGTTTTTGAATTTAATTAAAAAGATTTTTTGTTTTATTTTCTTTTTTCTTTTTCTTTTTGATCTTTTAATTTCTTTTCTTCTTTTTTGTTTATATTTGCTTCTTTCCTCCTTTCTTTTATTCTTTATTTCTCAATTTAAATTCTTTTATTTCTTTTATTAAATAAATAAAAACAAAAAACAAATTAAGAAAACAAAAACAAGTTTTGACTCTGCCGAAAGACCCCTTAAAAGAAAGAGAATAAGAAAAGGAAGAGAAAGAAAGTGTCAAACAAAGTTTTCAAAATAAAACAAAAGTGCAAAAAGAAAAAGTTTTCAAAAAACAAAAATGAAAAAAGAAATCGCCACTTGCATGCGCATGCATGCATGCATGCATGCAGGCCCGCGTTGCGGTGTACAGACACCTCCACCGCGCAGAACCCTCCGGCGCCGCTCTTTCGCAACTTCTTTCTTCACTTCTTTATTCTCGTCGTTTCTTTCCCTTCTACACTTTCAATCTTCTCTTCGCCCTCGACGAAGAAGGTCAACAGACTCTATTCCGGCTCCTTTTTGGACTTTAATTGTCTTTTTTTTGACTTTTTAATTATCTCTTTTTTGGCTTTTATTTGCTTTTTTTGGGCTTTTTAGTTGTCTCATTTTTGGCTTTTAATTGTCTCCTTTTTGGCTTTTAATTGTCTCCTTTTTGGCTTTTAATTGTCTCTTTTTTGGCTTTTAATTGCCTTTTTTGGACTTTTTAAGTGTCTCTTTTTTGGCTTTTAATTGCTTTTTTTGGGCTTTTTAGTTGTCTCCTTTTTGGCTTTTAATTGTCTCCTTGTTGTCTCGTTAATTGTCTTCTTTCTGGCTTTTAATTGTCTCCTTTTTGGCTTTTAATTGTCTCCTTTTTGGCTAAATCCATCAAATCAAATTAAATCAAATAAAACAAATTAAATTAAATAAACTAAATGAATTAAATTAAATCAATTAAATTAAATTAAATTAAATTAAATTAAATTAAATTAAATTAATAAAATATTTTAAATTATTTATTTCAGGAAAAGGCGCTGTGTTTGGCTACGACGCGATCGCAGCTCAAATGAATCGAATTAAATCAATTTAACGAATTAAATCGAATAAATTATATCAATTAAATTAATTAAATCAATTAAATTAAATTAGATTAAATTAATTAAATTAATTAAATCAATTAAATTAAATTAGATTAAATTAATTAAATTAATTAAATCAATTAAATTAAATTAGATTAAATTAATTAAATTAATTAAATTAATTAAATTAAATTAAATAATCAAAACGAAATAAATAAATATTTTGATTTAAGGAAAAGGCGCTGTGTTTGGCTACAACGCGATCGCAGCTCAAAAACTCAAATTAAATCAATTTAACGAATTAAATCAAACAAATTATATCAATTAAATCAGATAAATTAAATTAAATCAATTAAATTAAATTAAATTAAATTAAATTAAATTAATTAAATTAAATTAAATTAAATTAAATTAAATTAATTAAAATAAAATATTTTGATTTCAGGAAAAGGCGCTGTGTTTGGCTACGACGCGATTGGCTCCTTCGAAAGGTCTTCGTACAACGCGACCGGCACTGGAGGGCCTCTCGTGACGGCTTTGTTGGATAATCAGGTAATTTAATTTAATTTTATTTTATTTAATTTTATTTATTTGTTTATTTATTTATTTAATTTATTTAATTTGATTTATTTAATTTGATTTAATTGATTTGATGGAATTTCAATTAATGGTTTAATTGGTTTAAAAAGCTCTTAATTTGGTTAGTTGGTTGTCTTGATAGCTCTCGTGACGGCTTTGTTGGATAATCAGGTAATTTAATTTAATTTTATTTTATTTAATTTTATTTATTTATTTATTTATTTATTTAATTTATTTAATTTGATTTATTTAATTTGATTTAATTAACTTGATGGGATTTTAATTAATGGTTTATTTGGTTTAAAAAGCTCTTAAATTGGTTAGTTGGTTCTTTAGTTAGCTCTTGTTACGGCTTTGTTGGATAACCAGGTATTTATTTATTTATTTATTTATTTATTTATTTATTTCTTTTATTTTATTTAATTAATTTAATTAATTGGATTTAATTGATTTAATGGAATTTTAATTGATTGTTTTATTGGTTTAAAAAGCTCTTAAATTGGTTAGTTGGTTGTCTTGTTAGCTCTTGTTACGGCAGGTGATTTAATTTAATTGCTTTTTTATTTATTTAAATTAATTTAATTTTAATTTAATTTGATTTAACTCCATTTAAGTGATTTAATTAATTGAATTAATTGAATTAATTGAATTAATTAATTAATTTGTCAAATAGTTTTATTTAAATTAATTTAATTTTAATTTAACTTGATTTAACTCCATTTAAGTGAATTAATTGAATTAATTGAATTAATTGAATTAATTAATTAGTTTGTCAAATAGTTTTATCAAATTAATTCAATATAAATTAAATTTGATTTGAATTTAACTCCACTTGAGTTATTTCATTAATTGAATTAATTGAATTAATTAATTTGTCAAATAGTTGGATACCAAATAGTTTAATTCGACTCAATTAACTCATTTAACTAATTAATAGATTAATTAATTAATTAATTAATTAATTAATTAATCCATTGAATGTTTATTATTTATTTTTTTCTAGTTATTTATTTATTTATTATTAATTTACTTATGTTTTGCATATTTTATTTATTTATTTATTTATTTATTTATTTATTTATTTATTTATTTATTTATTTATTTATTTATTATTAATTTATTTATTTATTATTTATTTGTTTATTTATTTATTTTTTATTATTATTTATTTAGATTGCAAGAAACAACCAACTGAAAGAAAGGCCAAAACTTACGAAGGAAGAAACCCTTCGTTTGGTGAGGGGCGTTTTGGC